GTCAAGTTTCCCATCTAGACTAGCTGCAACATCTGAGTCTAGTGCCCCATCTAGTGGCTGTAGGAATTACTGACACCTGTGTGTTAAAGAACAGTGCTGTAGAGATTACTACAGCACCGAAGTTTCCAGTGGCCATCAACCTTCCTGCTGCTGCCACCCTTTCACACAGTTCCCCATGTTGTAGTGACCCCAACCATAAAATTATTTTTGTTGCTGTCTCATAAGTGTAATTTTTGCTACTGTTTTGAATCATAATGCAAACTAGGCGACTCCTGTGAAAGGTTTGTTCAAACCTCAAAGGGGTCTCAGCCCACAGGTTTAGACAGCAGTGAACATTCTAAATTATACCCACATTTTCTTTCAAAGTGCCTACTTAGGCAATTTAATGTAACATACACTACCTTTAAATGAAGGAAATCAACAGTAGTTATTCATAGCACAAATACGACTCCATTAACTTAAATTTTCCGCAGTTTTTATTTATACCTCATTGGGTGGGAGGCATACCCAGTGCAGACAAGAGGTTGTGAACAATAGGCCAGCTGGCAAAAGTGTGACTCAAGCTATATTTTCTCCTTTGTAATGTCCCTGCAACAATCTATCCTCCCCGGGTCTCGCTGCAACGACATTTCAAAATGCTTGCTAACATGTCCATATTATTTCCTAAGCTACACAATAACAAAGATACAGTTGATTATTTTTTTAATTTAAATGTTCACCTCCAAACACTCCTTTAGCTGTGTGTATTGCTAATATCTTCAAAGGGTCCCTTTTCTGTATCCCTACAAATGTTCACATCTAAGTCCTAAGGAAACACACAACTGGTCAGGCACTTACAAAGCATCAACGGGAAAATGACTATGACTTCCTTATAGAAGGTTTCTCACTGCAGCTCGCTCTCCTCCCATAGCGTGCTTGGATTTCGTAAGTCATCTGTTATAATCCCAAACTCCACATTAAGTATTATTGGTCACACATAAGGATCTTACTCAACATGCCTGAAGCAAAGGTAAGGCTAAGGAGATGTTTATGAAAATCAAGCAAGCCAGCCTGAATTTCTATAGAGCCAGTGCTGATTACATTTTACTCACCAAGTTATGAAACCTTGCGTATAATTATAAATTATAAGCTAGCCTGGGATCACTTAACGCCAGTTACAACAAGTTAACCAGATTGTAGTCTTTCTCTCTATTTGCCAATAATGCCACTTTTAGCTGTCAGTTCAAGAGGGTTATGAGTACACAGACTAGAGTGGTCCCTTAGTAACCTTAGTACCAGGCACTGGTTCGTTTGCCCCAGCCCCAGGCCCCTAGGATTACAAAGGTCACAGATTCTCAAGATATAAGATAGAAACCAGGGAAACATTTGCATATAACCTCCACATGTCTTCTTGTACACTTCAGATAAGATCTAGTTACCTACGATGCCCGATACAATGCAAATGTTTCCCACAGCTGCTATACATGCAGCTAAAGGAGTGCTGACAAGAAAATGCCCATAGGTGTTGAGTACAAGCCAAGGCTAGTTGAATGTACAGAAGCAGACCCGTTGGATACATAGGGCTGGCTAGAACTAATTCTCTGCTATGTGGGTGATTGGATTTGATACATTTTAGGGTCTTGAGCTGGAATTTAGCGAAGATACTTTGATGCAGACTAGAGGCAGCATAGCCAGCTGTTTAAAAGAAGTAGCAGCTTGCAGTGTGGAGGTCTCTGGGATTACAGCTCAGGGCATTTTCTTTGCATTTGTCATGTTCAGTCTGCCTATCAGTTAACTGGCAAAGGTGGAGAAGCTGAAGGAGAGACGGTTGGGGGACCATTCAGATCCTTCCAGCTTATTGAATTCAACACATTACAATCAGGTCACTACAAAAATGGACTTATAATACTTATTTTCTAGATTGGAAAAAGCATATGTGATATTGTCCCAGACTGACAATATTACAGCAGGTTTGTCCTTTATCTCCAGATGTTGCCTCAACCATACTCCCAAGGAAGTGATTTCAGGGACAGCTCCAACATTACAAGTCTAGTAGAAAGAAATCAGTTTCTATTGCAATGGATACAGTAGATGTAGTTGGCAGCATTTCCTTGACTGAGATGACCCTACAGAAGCATTAACTCGCAGAAGAAGTTCATAAAGATCTCTTCCATCCGTGTATGAGAATCACACGTCTCGCCAATGTGACGAGACAGGCTGGAGTGCGTGGCTGACAAAATCGGGAATGTCTGAGTTGGAGGTCATAAGACGCTGTGGCTCACCGTGGAGTCGAGAAGACCAACAGAACCAGACAGTGACCCTCCACCAGCGAGTCCCATTCATCCTGGTGCCTCAAACTGCACCATGGGGACCGAGGCACACTCCCAGAGAGTGACGTTCTGCCTTCAAATTCCACCCGGTGTCTTGCTGACAAAGAAGCCGTTACTGCACGTTTATAAGGAGAGGTGGGGACAGAACTAGTGTTGGGGCAACAGTGCGTGTGTGAGGAAGATCTCAGCAACTGCAGCTACCAGGTTGCTGTGCACACTGAACAAGACAAAGGATGTGTGCGTGGGAGGAAACGACAGAGCTGAGATGTGCTCCTGTGAGAGGTGATAGGCGAGGGCTCCCTCTAATTAGAAACATACTCGGTACTGTTGTGTGTAAGGCCACTGTGACCTTCAAAGTCATCTTTTTAATAAGTCAAGCTCATTAATCCAGCTTCAGCATTCAAGGTTTACGTTCCTTTGAATTGTGGTGAATAAATGGCATCTCCTCTACTCGCTCGGTATATGTTAAAACCTGAACAGTGAAGTCCAATAGTGCTGGGGAAATCGGTGAGTAAAAACCCGCCTTTCTTTCCCTGTGTATCACTGGATAAGTAGAGTAGGGGCGTTTGTGTGAAAACGAGGCTAATGCATATTCCAGGAAGCTCAAGTCGAATAGGAACAGCTCAACATATGTGATGATTCACTGCAGACAATTTATGAGTATGCATAGAAACTGCCCCCTAACTATCAGTGACAGGGCCTGATAACACTTCCTGCTATTATCTGTGTTTATTGTCTGCTAATAGAAGATACTTTTGGACTTCCATGTCTTCATGTTCATTTCTTTGCCTTAATGACTAAGAAGGTTATTTAAAACTAGTCCAGTGGGCTGAAGACGGAGCGCAGTGGTCTATCTCTTGGTAGCATGTGCAATGCTGTGGGTTCAACTTCCAGAACTTCAGGGAGTAAATATACATAAATCACAAAACTAAAAGTAGTGCCTGAGAAACAGGGGGAAACTTCTCCTGAAGAAGTTCACAATCAAAGGAGAGAGAAGAACATAGAATAAACCTATGACCCCTCCAGGGAGTCCAAGTCATCTGGGTGCCTCAAACGGCACCAGAATTTGGAGCAGAGAGGAAGCACGGAAGAGACAATCAGAAACCACAGACTATCTTCTAACTGAATCCCCAGTACCAGGCAATGGATACTGGTCAGGAGGGTTCAAAAGACCCATAAACAGGGAACAATTACCATTCGTCCTGGTTGCCTCCCTATTTAATTGGAGTTGCCCTTAACATGAGATGCTACATCACCCTGAAGTCATAGTCTTCACACGAGATGCTACATCACCCTGAAGTCATAGTTTTCACACGAGATGCTACATCTCCCTGAAGTCATAGTCTGCCAAATGTAAAGTCCAATGCGCGGTATGAGATGGATTGCGCGGTATGAGATGGATGATCAACCCCATCCTTGAGTTGATCAGGAGTGCCCCTGAGACCCCCAAACAGTACGATCTTTTGCCATTGTTCTCGGTTACCTACCAGTACTTAATGGTAGGATTCCATGGCTAAAGTTGTCACATAGTGGTCACAGGGTATGGAGAAACCAAGTTGGCACTGACCAGGGAACTTACTTCGTGTTTGCTAGCTGTCATAGTACTGGAAGCTACTGTGCAGACTGCTGGAGCAGGGTGGGTCACCAACAGTTTGACTCAGTTGTAAGCCCTGTGAGCCTGAATAACCATCAGTATTTATTATGCTCATGGGTTCATAATAGTGGAGTGACTCTGAGTAAACTCAGGAGCTTATAGCGTTACACCCATTTTCAGCCCCTGTAGATAGCATGCATTTTGACAGCATGGCTCACATAGGAATCTATTACATTTGAAGGTTTCCATGAGACAACCATGCTGGAGTCTGGTCTGTGTCTACAACAGGTACTGGACAGGACTTGCTTATTTGTGGTCTGTGTCAGTAGAGGAGCCCATGACTGTTTCCCTGTTTCATCTTCTTCCTGAGGGTCACTGACTCCAGTCACCAGTCACTCATCTAGGGAAGACAGAATGAGGGTGGCTCTTTCTCCTGTCTTCTGTTCCTTGTTAGTAGCTCCCATTGGAGGTACTGCAAAGGGACCCAGGAGATGCCAGGTGAGGGCTACACACATAAAAAAAAAAAAGACAGTGGGCAGTGGCTAATAATGACAGTCAGTGCTTTCTAGATGCATGGGGCATAGGTGAATTGTGGCAAAATTGTGAATTAGTTGCATCAGTTTCTTTTCTCTGCTAGTATTGAAAATCCCCTACTTAGGCACCAACTACTAAGGAGAATCAAACTGGATTTTATGGAACTGGTTTTAAATACATTTCAGTGCTTTGTACATATAAATTTTGAGTCTTAAGTTTATTTCTCTGATATGAAGAAAAGTATTGAAAACAGAACATACATTACCTAACGATGGTGGTGGGTTAGGTGTTAGCTTTAAGAAAGGGAAGAATTTGGCTCAGATTTGCTGTGTGAGGTGCCCTGAGGACTTTTTTAAACTCCATAAATTACATAATTATCAGTCAGCTAAGTTGATTACCAGAAAGATGATTAGCTCATTCTGTTTACAGCATTTAAAACGTGTATGCCAGATAGAAGGAATGAACTAAATTCAAAATATGTCAGTCATGGACTAATGACTGGGTGAGCTGCTGTCATTTCTCACTGCCCCTGACCCCCACTGAGAAGCCCATGGGAGCTGTACCTGTGTGCGTTCTCCGGTGTGCCTTCAGGTGGGAACTTTTTGTGTACACTTTGTTGCATCCTTCAAAGTCGCATCTGTGGATGCGCCTCTTCCTGGAGTCCGGCGATTCTGATCGTCTCTGGCGTCTTGTGCTCTCAATACTAAATGGTGAGATTGAACTGTAAAAGAAAGAGTGCCATTACATGGTGAGAAGCAAAGCCCTTTGTCTGGGGCCTCAGCAGGCTGAGATCATGGTCTTGGACTCTGCTGCCCTATGGTCTCCATGACCATACACCCTGCTCTCATCTCCTGGATCTGTCTCAACAGCTAAAGAAATCAGCAGGGCTATGCTTGGTTTAATAGTTCCAGGGAAAGAAAGGCAATGCTTACTGAGGCAAACTAGGAACATTGATGTAGGTATGTGTGATTTCAGCATGTGAGAGGCTGAGACAGGAGGAACCAAAGCTGGAGGCCAGCCTGGGCCACATAATAAAACCTGTTTCTAGAAATCCAAACTCACCAAGCCCATCTAATGTAACAAACCCAAACCAAATCCAAGCGGAAGTTGTGCCAGGGATGCAAATCTCCTTTATCAGTGCTGAATGAACAGCTCAGCTTCGAATGTCTAGTCTGTCTAGAAATGTCTTAGGAAGCCCTTCTCTGCTCAAGGTAACATCAACATGAACGTATGTAAGAGGGGCATCTAAATTCCATGTAGTGTTATACAACCATGCAAAAGTCACAGTGCAACTTTCAAAACAATTGAGGTCAGAGTGAAAGAAATGGCAGCCATACATCAGGGTGACTCACGCCAAGCAATTTCTGTGCAGAGAAATGCTCTTGATATTTAACTTTCCTACGTGGTGGTTTTGTTGAGGTGAGGAGTAAAGTGAGGAGTAAAGATTAGCTGTACTGCTATTATGAGAAGAAAAAAAAGACTTTATGAAGTTTGGCCCAGACTTGCGTGTTGTTTCATTGTAATACTCAGTAGAAAAACAGGATTAGTTTGTAATGTCAAGTAATTCATTTACATGTACCTTTTTCAAAACTTAATCTCTTCTGATTGAGACAGAAAGAACATGACTCATCTTTTTATTAGCAATCCATGAAGTTCTCTAAAATTATAGTGAAATGGGATAAAGAAACAACCATCCCTGTTTCCATAAGATACACCTACCATTACTGACATTTTGTCATTTAAGTGAGGTGCTGTCTACCATAACTTATCAATTCTCACATGTATTTTTTTCCACATCTGACGCTTTTAAAATGAAGCTGCTTCTTGCAACTGGAGGACTGTTATAGGTTAGCTGGCATTGTTTTCTTTATTAGAGGCACGTAAAGTAATTACAAGTTTTATAATGCCTATTTCAATTTTGAGTAAGGGTTGGTCAGCTTTTTCTGCAAAGGATTAGGTAGTAACTATTTTATTTCGAAGTTAAGGGCCATGAAGTCTTATGCTGTAATTAATAAACTCTAAAATTCTATTATGCAAGCAGCTATAGACCATATGGTAACAAAGGAGCACAATTTCAGTAAAAGTTTCTTTACAAAAATGGTGGAATTGCCTACATGTCACAGTCTGCTGACTTCTCAGTTGCGCATTATAGTAGTGGTTCAACAAACATGCATTCCTACATTTTAAAATGCCATCTCTTAAGTGACAAACAGATTCTGTTTTTGATACCACACCATTCCATTATTCCCGCCAACTGGTTTCCAGCACTTCCTGCTAGCATATTTTCTAGCATGTTCCTGTTTATTTTTTCAAAGTACCCTTTCTAGTCTACAAACAGTAGATTAGGCAGCCAAAGCTTCAGAGTAGTTAAGATCAAATATAAGTGCTGTTTATCAAGCCTCAAACCATTTAACTTGAGATCCACACTGGGGTGAAGGAACCCAGGCTGTGCTTAGGTAAACCATTTTTTTAAAGCCTTCATTATCAATCAACGTGGATTTGTGGTTTTCCACGTCATTGATTCAGTTGCTGGGACAGGACTCTATTGTGAAAAGAGTCAAAACAACATGAAAGAAGAGCTTTAGTCAGTCTGCAGAGTGACTGCAGAATGGAGTAAGATTCCTGAGCTTTAGTCAGTCTGCAGAGTGACTGCAGAATGGAGTAAGATTCCTGTGCACAAGAAAGACTGTGTGTGCCCTAATATGGTGAAAGAAATTCATTTCTTGAACATATAGCCATGACAATAAATACAGATTTTTGGCACTAAAAGCCTTATAAGAGAAAGTCCCTTATTGTGTTGTGTGATGTTTGACATCTTTCACAAATCAGGAGAATGATAGTATTTGAAGTTAAGATTTAAGGTCTATAACAAGTATACTGTATTAACATGTGAATATTAATGTCACCCCACACAAACCCAGCCATGAAGTTTTTGCCTATGGTTGACTTTAGCCACTTACCTTGTTAAGAATTTGTGTGTACCATGAGAAATTAAAATAAATCTGAATCCAAACCAGCTACCAACTGATCTTGAGGGGACCAGTGAGACACTATTGTGACACAATCCGTCCTCTAGTTAACTGTGTGGCAGGCACAGAAAACAAGCAGAGAGGCTGCAAGTGGGAAGAAACTGCCTCACTCAGTTTTGAATTTAATCAACTCGAAGAAGTGGAATGACCTTCAAGTTCAGCCCTTAGTCTTAGGTTTTCCTCATTTTGAAGCATAATCTTTTTAAAATGTTCTGAAGAACAACCATGGAAAGGAGTTTGTACAAGAAAAATAAGATGGAAAATGCTTTTAAAAGGTGCCCGAATGAGGAGTGGAATGTGGTAAAGCTGGTTCTAAGGGCATGCAGCGGTGGCTGTTCTTTGTTCCGGTTTCCCTGTTTTCTCCACCAGCAGGTACAGAGGAAGCAGCCTTTAAGCTAGCCCTTTCGGTGTTACTCGATCTCTTTGCAGGAAGGTTGTGGAGCTGTGGTCAAAGAGGACGAAGCAAAAAAAGAACATAACTAGGACATCCTAGTGCTATGGAGAACCGCTACGGTCTGGAAGCCAGGGTGCAATCCACAGTGAGAAGACACTGTAGGTAGACTGCAGCATGGACAGGGTTTCGCTGAGCCAATTCCGTGACCAAGTTCAGTACCATGTTGTCAAGGTACTGAGTAATTTTCAGCCTAGGATGTCGTGAGCATTTAAGAAATGAATGATAGGAAAGGTATTCCTGCTTCATTTCCCATATAATTTTGAGTTGAATAATTAATCCTCATCTCATTAATTGTTTGATTGCTGTACCTTCAGATAACAGACATGTAATTCTCACCACCTCCTTCCAGATGCTTCATATTTTAAATGGGACTGGGGATCAGGGATTCAGCGTTACCTGCCAGTAAACACATGCTTATAGACGCCATTGTTCTTCCAGCCGTTCAGACCATGACGTCCAAACATGTGGCATGTCCACTGTGATATGTGTGTTGGAGGCTGGAGAGTGAAAAACGGGTCCTCTCCTGCGGGTTTTCAGGTAAGTAGGAAGGAGTACAAGAGTCACCCTGATCCCAGAGCACTGCCCGACAGGGTCCCATTCTGGGGCTTCCCATATGCATGAGTGTAGCAGAGGGGCTTTCAGTTTCTTCTTGGTGTGTATACCCCACCCTTCATGTCCCATGCTCTCAGAGCACTGTATTCCCTGTTAGTTGGCAATGAAGATCCAAGCCTGCTTGGTGCTTTATAAGTTAGACTTGTTCAACAGAATGTAAATGTGTAACTTATGACTGCATTGAAGGAACAGGAACAGAATCATTTCAATTATATTTACTAATAATCTTTGTATGTTCAAAATGGATGAGATAAGAGGGTTGGTACTGTGTTCACACATATCAGTACATAAGGAGCAATGACTGAAGCTGGCCAGATGGCTCAGTGGGTAAGAGCAGTTTCTGTGTAATCCTAGAGACCTGAGTTCAATACCTGAAACACACAAAAGAGAGACAATTCCACAAAGTTGTCTTCTGACCTCCAGATGTATGCTATGGCATATTCACACTCCCTCCATTATACACATGTGCAGATGCATACAATATACGCACACATGCACACACACACACACATAAAACACACAACCACAAACACACGCACACCCAACCACCACCAGCAGCAGCACCACAAACAAACAAATAAATAATAAATAAATAAATTTTTTTTCACAAAGCAATAATTTCAATTTCATGCCCTGCCATTTCCCCAGAAGGCTAGCCCACTTTGAGTAGTTGATGGATGCCTGAGGGGGCTTCTAAATGCCGTGTGGTAATTTTGGATCCGGAGAGAACAAATGAGTGAGTCATGGCTTCAGCAGCAGCACAATCCTGCTTGGAGTGGCAAGTTAAATTAGAATTAAATCCAGAGAGGCCGAGAAAGTCACATTCAGAAACAGCTCCATTTAAACTGAAAGTGCTGCATTGCGGCTGTGAAAGAAAGCAGGGTTAACTGTAATAAAGGCCATTTGTCATGAGTGACCTCAGTGTGATGGAATGCCCTCTACAGAAATTGGAGTTCCTAAAGGAGTGAGAAAGAAAGAAGGAAAGAAGGAAGGAAGGAGGGAGGGAAAGAAGAAAATAAAGGAAGGAAGAAAGAAATGAGAGAAGGAAGGAAGGGAGAAAGGAAGGAAGGAAGGAAGGAAAGAAGGAAGGAAGGAAGGAAGGAAGGAAAGGGGAAAGAAAAAAGGAAAGAAAAGACTAAAAGTCCTGAACATCTTTTCTAGGCTAAGAAGAAGACACACATCAAAACATAACATAAAAATGAGAACAAAACACTGGAACTGACAGTATTTCTGCAAACACACACACACACACACACACACACACACACACACACACACACACACACACATTCAAGAATCCCGGGCTTCCTCTTAGCCGGCAGTTACACATTTCTAACAGACTCTGCTGCCACCAAACAGGGTCCATGTCCTGAGCTGTTAACCGAGGAGAAGGTGTGATTTAGGTTCAGTCCCTACCCAACAACTGCATTCCCACCCCTTTACCCCCACCCCCAACAGCATATCCAGTAGTACTTCCTGTGTGTCATTTCCTAACAGACCCAAATTTTAATATTAGCAGTCATCACTGTTTCTAGTAGCTAAGACACATAAATTATCCCACTTCAGGTTTGAATCTGAATTTAATATTCTCCCAGACTGTATACTTGAGAATAATACCTGGTCTAA